TTAGCCAACAAGACGTGGTGATGTGGTGGAAAGGCGGCCATATGCGTGTTTTTTTTGTTTTCTTTTCATGTGAAAGCTCTGTAGCCTTTGAGTTAGAAGTTGGCTTTTATGGTTTTAGTCAGCTGTCACCCTTGGCTTTTTTCTGGTTGTTTTGTTTGATTGAGTGTCTATCGGGCCTCGTTTAGGTTTTTTGTTTGGCCAGTCTTTTTTAGGCTGTTGTTGTTGCTTTGTTGGATTAGGCTGGTTCTGGTAGGATTGTTGGTGATTGTTTTTGGTGTTTTGTTCATATTGGGGGTGGCTCCCTGGTTGTATCGTGTTCTTTCTATGGTTAATAAAATCTTAAGGCACTCTTTTCCTCCTTCCGCTGATTAAGGAGCTTCTCTATAAGCTCCTTTAATCATGAAGGAGGTTTTTAACGAGGCCTGCAATTCCTATCAAAAAAAAAAGATATGCATAAAGCAAAAGATAACCAACCTCTGAACTACTATAAGCACGAAGAACAGTGAAAGGCTGTAGTTTTCCCCGGATATCATAGAATACCACTCTACCATTACCGGTGCCAGCTGCCAGTGTCCAACCATCATCTCTAAATGTCAGTGAAGAAAAAGGTGCCTCGTATGAAATGAAAGCTGATGGTCTTCTAGACCCTGAATCGTAAGTGTATAGCTTCTTATCCAACCCAACACTAGCAATTATCTGTCAAAAAGGAAAAAGGGACTTCACATGTCAAAATATTTAACTATTTTTGAAAGATGTCTTAACCATAGAAAAGTTTCCTTCATCTCAACCTTCCAGAAAAGGTCAGCGTATTCCTTTAACTAATCCTGAAAGAATGAACAGAATAAATAAAAAGGAAATACTGAGACCTTATCATTGGAGGGTGAGAAACTAATGCCAGCTGTGGGAGCAGAATGCTGATTCAACCAAGAAACCTGTAAAAGCCAGTAGATTACATATATGCTTTAAACATCAAGAATATTAAGAGAGTCAGAGAGAAGGGAACCTTAGGGCTACGACCAGTGGTATCCCATAAATGGACAGATCCATCATCACCTGCAGTCACTAAAATGTGTCGACTAATCCGCGAATAATCAAGCACCTTTAGTTCCTGGTCTTAAAATCCACCAAAGGAAAATTAGCTAGCAAACAAGAATAAGAACTTAACATAAACACCCAAATGCAACAAACTAAACACCTGTGCATCAGGATCTTTTAATTCAGCAGCCTTTGCCCCAGAAGCAAGGTTGTGAAGTATTAGATCCCCACTAAGGCTGATGGATGCTAAGTGCTCGTCTTTGCAGTTGTACATTACACCTGTTATTGAGCTGGTATGACCCCTTAACCATTTGATGCAACGCTTCCGCTGCAAATCCCATATTCTTACAACTTGACCACTTCCCCCTGAACATATGTATCTGGATCCCTTGTTGCTAAAGCTAATAGCTAAAATAGACTCCTGCAAATATAAGGGAAATTCTGCTTTGTAAATTTGACTAGGAAGGCAATGGCAGTAATTACTTAAAATTCCGGTAGCCTTGTAAACCAATTAAGGAATGAAATCAACGAATTAGAAATATCAAGTGTCATCAACGAATAATAAATTCGGATGTCAAGTCATAAAACCTCGTGGGTTCTAGTTTCCCAAATGAGAGCTCATACTTTTTTCTTCTTTAGGCATAAAACATTATAGCATCTAATTTGAGGAAATGAACATCATTATAGAGGAATGCAAAGCACTAAATGTTTGAAGCAAGCATTCCCAATTCCCATCCATGCTACTTAATCACATCCTCCTCTCATGTTACTTACCAGCATTGATGCTAGAAACATGTGATTGTATAGACAGAAAGAACAATTATATTTTGTTCATTATAATCCTAGACTACAAACAACAATGCACTGCACGACACGCTCACATTGATAAAGGAGAAACTTCAGAAAGCAATTGAATTTAAAACTACTCTCTTTTGTTCATAAGTAACTCAATTTAAAACATGCACGAACCAAGTGACCTCAGTGGTTAAAGGATTGTTGTTATCCATTGAGGTCCCAAGTTCAAGCACCACATATGCCAGGGGTACAAGCGTTCATTATCAAATGGATGAAAGTATTTGAACATATACTACTTTGTATTCACCCCAAAATTATATATAAAAAAAAAGCTCAGTTTAAAACATGATTTAATAATCTACAACCAGCGTCATCCAAAAAATCTTTAAACCAGCTACCAATCAACATCGCACATCCTATAGGTAACTTCTATTTCAACATGTAAGTAATTGAAGTTAATAGACCTTAGAGCATCGACAACACAGTTAGGGACAAAGAACATAACAATTTTGGAATTAACATGCATTATCTACCTAGAAATGAAAATATATCCCACTGACCCACTCCAAAAACTTATGTTTCAAATAATCAAACTAAAAGTATTTCAACAATTTTCAACAGTTTATGAATCGTAGAGAAGGATTGCCTCAATGTTATCTCCACTATTACTCCCATCAACCGGAATTGTCCCAATCCTCTGCCCATTTTTCCGCCACAAGGATATCTTCTTATCCTCTCCAGCACTCGCCACCACTAAATCTGCCATAACATTTGCTCAGCTGGAATCAGTTCAAATAGCTATACACAAGTAAAACCAAAACAGACCCGAACTGAATTTCTCAGCATAATTGCTAAATTCATCTTCTAAACTTTTAAATGCAAATAATTAAGTTAAAATAAGATCTTATCCCGTTTAACTCGATAAATCAATCATTTCAAATATTTTTTAACCTTTTTTTTCAAAAAAAGGCAAAAAGATAAGACAATTACGGCAACCGAACAGATCGTAACAGCAGGAATGTGAGGCGGAAAAAAAGGTTAATCGTTTTAAAAATAACAAAAAGGATGGAAGAACTTACTAGTGTGGTTCCACTTAACCGAGTTGACAACGCAACTCGGAGAAGGCGAGTAAGTCAAAACGCAAGGATCGTTCGGTTCGAGCTTAATGTCGAAGATCTTCACGGTGTCGCCGCCACTCGCTGCTAGTAACTCCGACGACGGATCCGATAGATTCATCGTAAATCTCTCTTGTTTAAGTAAAAAGAAACATATAATTTTCTCAGGAAAAATTGAAACTCAAACGAAAGCCCGAAATGAAAATTAATTGGAATCTGGTGGTTAGAGAAAGTGGAGAGTAAGTAAACCCTACGTCAAAGCAAAAGAAAGCGAGGAGGCCAACAATTTTTATATATCTTTTTCCTTTCTAAATTTTGAAGTGTGTGGGCTCCTTTGTCCTTTATGATTTATAGTTTATAAATTTAAAAGTTGTGATTAAACTAATGGAGTTTAATTAAATTTCCTATTATAGTTTTATAATTTAAAAAATAATTAAATTTATAGATTCACTTTTTTTTGAATTAATCACTAGTATATGATCTATTGACCGATTAATACAGAGGCGATGACAACCCTCTCAACTCAGTTTGCTCCATTCGCAAACGTCAGGATTCGAACCCCTGACCTTATTTAATGAACCTAATACTTCATCTCACTAAACCAACTAGTTGTTAGTAAATTTATAGATCCACTTTAATAATAAAAAGAAAATATTTTAATCAACTACCACTATAAATGTATACATGTTGATTGGTTCACTCATTTTTCTTTTCTTCTTTTTTATGTACATAGTAGTTGTTAATTTTCTTTAAAAAAATTTAAATTATAATGATGATTTACAACTATAAGTGTAAATTAAACGCGTAATTAGAATATTTCATATAATAATTAACATAAAATTAGTCATTTAAGATCATATAAAGGCCATACAATGAAAATGTTAAAAACTCATCCAATAATTTCAAACAAAATAAAGATGTGAATAGATATAAATTTATCGGAAAGCGAATCATGACATGGATCAAACTTCTGAAAGATCACAGAAATCCGCGAATCAGAATTGAGCGTTGTAAGAAAATTATCTCTAAACACAAACCACATATCCAAATTCATTCGAAGATCTAAAACAAGATAGTAGTCGAGACGAAGTCAAATTCATCTCTAATAAAATTAAACAAGAAAGTCGAACAAATAACATATAAAAAGAACCGAAACATGTCAAAAGATAGATAAAAATAGGGATACACATGGGTTGGGTTAACTGAAACCCAACCCGATAATTTTTCATTCTCGACCGACCCGAAAAAGATATACCTCCACCCAACCCAGACCCAACCCTATTTTTGAGATAAAATTCAAAAGTGACCTAAAATAATATATTTATTAAAAAATATTATTTTTATTTAATAGAAATAAGGATTTAATTAAAAAATAATATATGAAAGACTATTATTACAATTATCCATAAATATATAAGTTAAAATTACATTTTTCCCAGGTCGGGTCAGGTCAAATATTTTTTACACTAAACCAAAACTTGACTCGACCCGAACATAACCTCCAAAAAACCCAATCGATACCCAATTAAAAAAATATGAAATTCAACCCGATCGGGTCGGGTTAAGTCAAAATCCATCAGGTACAAGTCTCATTTCTATCCCTAGATAAAAACGTATCAAAAAATAGATGAAAACTTATCAAAACGTGTCATAAGACAAAACTATTAATTTTGAAAAAAAAACAAATATACAATATAAAAATAAAAATAATAAATACTGACAGTCGACAACCAGTACCAAAGCCGGTGCCTGTCGCTGACCAACAAAAACAAAGGAGAAGGCAAGCGGCACAAAATTAAAGGAAAAAGAAGACTAGGGCAACAAATAGAATACTAATTTAAACATTATCTCATATAACAATTATCTAATTAAGTCAATTTTAAGATATATTACTCGTCTTCCCTCAAAAGAACGTTTTTACCCTACAAACATTTGATTGCACAAGGCTCTAAATTGCAGCTAATCATCTCATAACATTTGATTGCACCTAATTATATATATCCATACAGACAACTCAATCAGTGAATAGTCCGAGAGGTACGAAAAACCGTTTCAAGGACGAACACGGCCACATTCTTTTTATTTGTTCCAACAACTCGGAGCACACCTATGAGCTGCCAGACCAGATATATCTATACATGCACAGCAGATTAACTGCTATAAAGAAAAATATAGAGTTGTGGGTTATGCTACACGAGAGCAGACTCGAAACGTTTTTACCCTACAAAACGGTGTCCACAAAGGCGTCGCTTACATCTCTTCTGGCAAGAGTTCGGAGCCTGCAATCTTCAGTTTCAACCATTTTTGGGGACTGATAAGGATAACTACATTAGAGAAAAAGAGAAACGGTTAATAATACAAAGTAGCACTGATAGTTGTTTTGTCGTTTAATCGGATGAATAGCAAAGACTGATATATAAAAAATGAGAAACATAATTAACAATTATAATAAGCAATAGCATCATATGGATTTAAAGAGAAAAACATCCATTTTCTTCTTGTGCTGTATTCCGACTAACAAAACTACAAAACACATTACCGATCATCAATACTCTCACACCGGACAGAAGAGGAGGACATTGAAGGAGAAGAAAGCAGGCAATCGGGAAAGTGGATACTGAGGATAGGGGCTGATCACTAAGTTATACCATAGAAAGAAAATCACTTCCATTCTTCTCGATTAGAAGCCCTTTTTGTCTTTTCTCTATTTTGATGTGATCCAGGGAGAATCCTATGGCCTGAATCTTAAGAGAGAGAAAGAGGGTGATCAAAGAAGGTATTTTCTTTAGTTTCTAAACTTGGACCATCAAAAAATATCATGAGCGTTTCTAGATTGGTTTGACAAAAAGTGCTTTATGATAACGACGATTCAATATTGTTTCCACCTAAAAGCTTATGATTACAATTATTTAAATAACATCATAAACGTATTCAGACTGCACGAGATACCTGAAAATGCTAAAGCTTCTAAGTTCTAATACCATCCTGAGGGAAGTAACAACCACTAATAATGAAGAGGATATGACAAAGAAAATCATCAAAATCAATAAAGATACAACTTTATTTAGCTGACCTTCGTAGAGACTTGCACGCCATTATATGTTGATAGCTGCAACCATTACATTTTAGTGGACATGAACTTTGCTTTTTTCTCTGCTGGCTTGAGAATCTGGAAAGAACACATCAGGTTGTCATCGACACTCATCATTGCACCAGCATTATCAAATTCACCACAATAGTTGGGTGCTGAAAATATTGTAACAAGTTGCCTATCAGCAAAGAATTCGTAACCATCCTCCACAACCTGCACAAAAATAACCAGCTTAACTTCAAAATAGAACATCATTAAACACAATAATGGGAAAGCCTAGTTAAGTCAACAACCTGATGTGCACGGCAGACAAGATCTAAATCATGCTTTGCCAAGAATTCAGACACCTTGTCTGGACCAAAGGTGTATGAAACTCCTCTGTCATTCATTCCCCATCCTTTCACCTCTCTATCAGGGTCAGACCAAAGCAAATCACACAGCAAACCGGTGTCAGGAATTGCAGTTGGTCGAGATAAGTTTCTAATTTGATCCAGGTTTGTCAAGTCAGGGGAAAGACCACCATGCATACACAATATTTTGTCGTCTATAAGAGCAGCCACGGGAAGGCAGTTAAAACAATCAGTAAAGCTTTTCCAAAGTCTCACATTAAACCGTCGCTTGCATTCATCATAAAATCCATATATCCGATTAATAGATGCACATTCATGGTTTCCTCGCAATAGAAAAAAGTTCTCCGGATACTTTATCTTATAAGCAAGTAAAAGACATATCGTTTCCAAACTCTGCTTGCCACGATCCACATAGTCGCCTAGAAATAGGTAATTGGCATGAGGTGGAAAACCCCCATACTCAAACAGCCTTAACAAATCACTATATTGCCCATGTATGTCACCTAAAAGAGAAACAAAAATTTTACAGTAAGAATCAATAAAATACAGGAAAATGATGGTAGCAGTGTTGTCAATGGTGCAAGGCACACTCTAGGCACTAGAACCCTTATATTGTCTCAGGCACATAGGACAAAGAAAGAAGTAGGCTCATTGAAGTGAACTGCAATAGGTATATCTGTAAGTACACACACACATATGCGAGTTTTTACAAGTCTCTGTGTGTACATATATGTGTGTAGATATATGATAAACTCTAAAGTGTGCTCTAGTTTACCTAAAAAAAGCATTTTATTTAGTTAAAATGCATGATTTCCTTACAGTCAATGTTTGAAGTTGAATGGTCATATATTGAGAAGCATAGGTTTCGATATTATCCCTCTCTTACTATTAAAGGTATATCAAATGAAAAAAGTGAAAATAGAACAAATTAAAGAGAGATTCAATCGGGCAGGCTTTTTTTTTATGCCTATTGACCTCACAAAAAAGCAGGCGTCTTATGAAATAGGGCTCGCCTGAAAGGGCGCTTTTGTTTTATATTGCTAAGGCACAGTCGAGCCTAGGTGCACGCCTCAGTCCATTCAAGTTTACAATTAAATTTGCAGATGCCATATGCAGACTATATCATTTCAATTGCTTCACACATATTTTTCTATAAAAAGCAGGCGTCTTATGAAACAGGGCTCGCCTGAAAGCGCGCTTTTGTTTTATATTGCTAAGGCACAGTCGAGCCTAGGTGCACGCCTCAATTCATTCAAGTTTACAATTAAATTTGCAGATGCCATATGCAGACTATATCATTTCAATTGCTTCAAATATATTTTTCTACAGCTTCCAGCAATCAAACAGTTAAAAAGAAAACAACAGCAACCCAAATTCCTCCACCTTTCCATCTAAAAAGAGAGGTAAATTACGGTTTTAAAAGGTGAACTTCATCTTTATCTGGTTCAGAAATCTATAATATTAAAACCCCATTAAAAAACCAAAAGAATCATATTCACTGAAAACTATTTATTCAACACTTACAAAAATGCAACCTTTACCAATCTATCACAACCTAATATTACTTATAAAAAACCCTCAGCTTTCCTTCAAAACCCACAAAATACTTTCTAATAAAAAACCCCCCAACGAAACATAAAGCTCAAATTCTATTCCTAAAGTTAAAAATTAAACCACCAAAAGAAAATTACCACAAATTTTGATGGGTGCTTCGAGTTCAAGCAAATTCGGCTGTTGAGAGAAGATGTCTTTTGAAGCAACGCAAAGCTGCTTGATCTCGGATTCGGATAATTGCACTTGTTTCCCTGGCCTGGCTGATTGGACTTCCGTCAGCCGTCTGATTATATCGTCTAGCACCGCCGGGTCCATCCCTTGTACCGCGGCCATTAGATCCCTCCTCCTTCAACGGCCACCTGAATAAACCAAACCCTAGAACTAAAAAGTTAAACGGGACAGATAAATGATCCCCTTTTTTAGGGAAAACGGAATTAAATTGAAGGGAAAATATCTTCTTGACTTTCATTTTCCAAAGGAACAATGGAAGGAAAACATAAGAGTGAAATGACGTCGTTTTCGAAGAGTTGTTGTTCTTAGACCGTTCGGCGTTTGGGCCGGTTCATTTTGTTGGTTCAAGCTTTTTTGTTCGAACATCTAACTTAAATTTAGGGTAAATTATCCGTTTAGTACTTAAACTATCAGTTTTGATCCATTTTAGTACTTAAACTTTTATTTTTCTTCTTCTAAAATCATACCTAAATTTAGTTTTTGTTTTATATCAGTACCTACATTCAAAATTTAACGTTAAGTTTTGAAATAATTAAAAGTTTAGGTGGTAAAACGGACCAAACTAATAGTTTAGATACTAAATGTTTTAAGTTTTTAACGGCGAGTATAAAATGAAACAAAAACTAAATGTTAGGTATGATTTTGAAATTTTTTTTAAAGTTTAGGTACTAAAATGAGTTAAAATTGATAATTTAAGTATTAAATGTGTCGTTTACCCTTAAATTTATTCATTTTAAAAGGCTTTAACTCTTATATGAGTTATTTGAATAAATTTAATTTTTGCTTGATCATTTTGAAAGATTTAGGACTTATGTAAGTACGAATTAAATAACCTTAGTGGTTAGAGGAATGATTGTTATCTTTAAATGTCTCGAATTCAAACACGATGTCTGTAAGGGTATTTAAACTTTCATTATCAAATAACTGAAACTCTTTTAGAATAAATACTCTGACTAATAAAGAAAAAAAAATATTATATAAGCCTTCCCTAAAATATTTGATCTCGACTTGAGCATTTAGCCTTAATAATAATAACATGATAGGTAACTTTTGAATTGTTCCTACTTTGGTTATTATATCGTTAAATTGGAAAATGTTAAGCATTGAAACATGTTTAATCTCACATTCTCCTCGTGTAGTAACAATATCTAGAGATGGACATGGGTCGGGTTTGAATCGAGTTGATCCGAAAATTTTACATCCTTCACCCGATCTGACCCAATCCAAAATATATACCCTTCACCTGACCCGATTTTTTGAGATAAAATCCGAACCCGATCCGACCCGATCAGAAATAATAATAAAATAATATTTTTATTCAATAAAAATAGTGATTTAATTGAAAAATATATATATAGAGGGGTATTATTGTAATTATTCTTAAATATATTAGGTAAAATTATATTTTTTCGGACTAGGTATTTTTCACCCTAAACTCGAATCCGACCCGACCCGAAATTAAAAAAACCGATCGGGTCGGGTCGGAACCCATCGGATTCGGGTCCATGCCCATCCCTAACTATATCTATTGAATTAAAGTAAATTTACATTTATTTATTTATATATATATATATTATTTTATTAATCTAGGATAATCACATATATGTTTAGAGATAACTTTCGATCATTTAACATTAAACGCTCACACCCCTGACATTTTTAGTGCTCGAACTCGGGATCTCAGAAAATAATAACAATTCCTTTATCACTGAAGTGGCTTAATTCGTGCAAAATTCTTTATATTGATGTTTATATTGATGTTTGGAAAAGGAGGGTTTGGGTATATGTTTGTCTTCTTTGGCACATGTTTGAGACATGATCAACAAGTGTGTTAGAAAGACAGACCATTGAGACAAAGATTCATAAGAAACACTCATCTTTTTCGCTTTCAATCTATCCAAAATCATAGATAATATATGTGTTATGTGTGCTTTCTATATAATATAACTCCGATACATAAATCTCGAATGTTTAATTTGAAGATCAATGTTCGTTTATCTGTTCAGAAATTCGATAAGAATCATCTTGTCTCCTCTAGAAAAAGATGGTTGGATATTAAGAATTAGAGTTGAGCAACGAAACCGAGAAAATCGAAACGAACCAAGTAAAACGATTCGGTTCGGATTGACTTTATACAGTTCGGTTTCGAGTTGGTTTAAACATTCAAATTTTTTAATTCGGTTCGGTTAGGGTTTCCATATGAAACCCATTTGTTCCATATCTAACCGAACAAAACAATTTGGGTCAGTCCAGCCGGTTACCCACTTACCCTTATCCATATGCGGTAAGCCCAAATGGCCAATTAAAGTAAATACAAAAAAACCCCTAAATCTAATAATATTTTCGGTTTATGAAAAACCGCATTATCGAACCGAAAAGACCGATTTCACATATTTCATTTTTTTATCCATTCGGTTTCGGTTTAAATTTTAAAAAAACCATTTATTGCGGTTCAGTTTAATTTTTAGTAAAAAACCGAACCGAATCGAATACATCCTGACTAAGAATATGTATGGCAACGATCATCGAGGAATGAGTGGATAGTAAAGCTGTGGAATAAAGCAGATGAACACATCTAAAGACCTAAAAAGTAGAAGAAACCTTTAACATGGACTTAGATAGATGGCTCCTTGCATTTTGAAAGCATTTTCCTCCGGTACAAATGAGATGGGAGCCTGTAAATTAGGGATGAATATGGGTCGGGTTTTAAACGTCAATTACAGTAGTCTCGATTGAGTTTCCTCTGACATCGTCAAGAATTAGAAAAATATAAATATTTTTTTATAGATTGTATTAGTTTGTAATAATTTTTATTATTATTTTGTATTAAACCATTTTAAAAATTATTTTTTAAATAAAATTCGATAAAACTCATCACGTTGATGTGACGGGTTTCAACGGTTATACTTTAAAAAATTCAAAAGTTGCGCCCAACGACTAGTTATTTTTAATTCTAGTGGAACTCATCATTTCGACGTGATGAATTCTATTTTTTTTAAATTTTTTATAATATTTAAATTAATTACTATTTTATTAAAAAAATTACTTTTCACGTCGACCTGACGAATTTCATCCACATAAATGTCAATTTATAACTGTATATGAGATTTGCTTATGCTTAGAACATAGATTTGGCAGTTGATGTCGAAGAGCATGGGATTTATAATACCTTGTCGTAGTTGATGTTGAAGTTTTTTATTATGACAGCTGAATAGTGACGTGGAAATTAAAATATTATTTATTTATTATATATTATCGTCTTTTTGGTCAGAGTTGTGTGATTCCAATTTCAGGGCAAAATTGCTCGCATGGGACATTGGAAAAATAATTGGCTCGCATAAGGTTTTATCGAAATTATTTTTTGAGATAGTCGTTATAGTGTCGGGAAAGACGTCAAAAACACAACGCGTCTTCCTCATTGTTTCCCATTTTTCATGCAGTTGGAATGTCATAATTACCATATAAACAAAATAAAAACACACCGTGATCGTCGTGTCTTTCCAAAAACGCATTATGTTTTTAGCGTCTTTCGACTTTTTATTACTAAAACTTCTCTTCATTTGTATGTGATTTTACTTGTTTAGGGTTTTTCACAAGAAATTTGTATATTCTCATTTTTTATTATTGTTTTATGATAATTTTATTGTCAATATCAACATGTAATATTACATTCGTCATCATAAGTAGTGATTTTTTCATCCTTCCCCATCATCGGAAAATCATCTTTCTCTGACTTTTTTTTTGCGATCACTCTAAATATCGAAGAATTTATCTCATCAATCTTTCCATTTTATTAGTTTAAATTTTCGTAAAATATCTTTACAACTCACAAAAATGAACACAAAAAATCCACAATTGTTGGAGGTTTGAGGTGTTCGTTCAAAAATATAAATGGTGAGAGAAATATTATTTCAAGGACACAAACAACATACCTAGAAATTCGTCTTATTGGATGACCGTCAAAGAAGATTGAAGCATTAAAACGTCAAACATTTAGATGCATTTTCGATGATTTTAAGTGAATTTTGTAGAAAATCAATCTAATGATAAGAAAGATAAGTGAAATACAAATATTTTATTATCGATCTTGCTATGAATGACGATCGGTGATAAGTAACCATTGATCAATACTGAGCACGAAGGAGTTGATGGGTTTCCATAGAAAAAAAGCAAGAAAGAAACAATCATATCATTACGTCATTAATGATTTACCAGTCTAATGTCCTAATTGAAACATAAACTAAAATCCAATGTCAAAATTAAAACGTTTCAAAACCCGATGTGGTAATTAATACACACCCTAAAGTTTAGTGACTACTAATTTAGTTTACCCTTCATTTTATTCCCACAAGAATATTATAAAAAAACAAACGTTTGATCAAGCAATTAAATCTCTCTTTCTTTCTCTCTCTCTAAAAGCAATGGCTAATTAATGAAGTTGGGGAACAAGATAAAGAACATAATCAGTTCCATGTCTTAATCATATGCAAGCCACCATTAATCCTAAATCAATGATGTCGTAACTAGAGATGGGCACGGGTCGGGTTTTGATCAATCCGACTCGACCCAAAAATTATTTATATTCCACTCGACCCGACCTGAAAATATACACTCTCCATCTAACATGAATCCGACCTAACTTTTTGAGATAAAACCCGAAATTGACTCAATCCAATCTGAAATAATATATTTATTACAAAATATTATTTTAGTCAATAAAAATAGAAACTTAATTAAAAATAATAATATATAGAGAGGTATTATTGTCATTATCCCTAAATATATAAGGTAATTTTTTTTGTCGGATTGGGTCGAATATTTTTCACCCTAAACCCGAACCCAACTCGATCCGAACATAACCTCTAAAAAACCCGATCCAACTCGACCTAAACCAGAATTTTTTTTAAAAACTCGATCCAATCGGATTGGGTCGGAACTCGTCGAGATCGGTTCTCGTGTCCATCCCTAGTCATAACACCCAACTTATATAATCTCGAGTTTTCAATTTTGAGAGTTTTTCTTTAAATTTGAACTAGAGGGTTTTCATCGATTGTATTGATCAAGATCAATATGAAGAAGAAGAAGAGTCTTCTTCTTCTTCTTCTTCTTCTTCTTCTTCTTCTTCTTATAATAATAATATAGAGATGTATTATTGTCATTATCCCTAAATATATAAGGTAATTTTT